ACTTATAGTAAAAACCAATACTTTGCTTTACAAATTGAATTTTGTTATATCCTGGCCATAATATTTTGCACACAACCTTAAAAATATCGGAAAAAATTGCAGGAAATTAAAATAAACTTTTAAACCATTTTTCATAGAAATTTTCCACTGATTTAGAGCCTTATATGACTTTGAAGTCTGCCTTAGTCTTCATTTCATGCTTCTATCCATTTTCTTTTTTCTTCTTTACCCCAGATACTTATACCCCTTAGACGATTTAAACCGCAAGCTAGGGACCAGTCTATCAGAGCTGCCATATCCTAGGCAGCGTCATGCTGCTGCTGCTGCTGCTGCTGCGGCGGCGGCGGCAGCGGCAGCTTCGACTCCTGCCTTAGCCACGAGCTCTGCAGCCTCTGTTGCATCTGCAGCCAATATCACAGCCACTGCCCCCGGTATCGCTTCAATGCAAAATCTTTCTTTCCTTTCTGGAATGGATGACCGAGTAGTCGATCGAATTGAATCAGCCCGGCCGTCGCCTACCGAATCTATATCCGAATCTTCCTCATATCACCCAACTTCTACAAGTCGAAAAACACATACAGCCACGGTTACTGCTACAATGAATTCTCTCAAAACCAATACTGATTCTGATAACGTATCTTCTTCTCTCTGCTGTTCACCGAGCAAGGATCGTGACAGTATAGCCGCTTCGCCCTCAAGCCCCGGGCAGAGTAGACCAATCCATAGAACCTCGCCACTTCAGCCTCTCTATCAGAAACATCACAAATCTATTTCCGGGGGAGCCGTACATTCGAGCTCATCTGGCCCAAGATCCGCGACAAATTTGAGTGTCGCTTCTGCTCGACGCAGACGACCTATTCCGGTCTTGGCCAGGAAGGTGCCAACAACTAAATCTGGCGTAGCCAGTGATCAGACCCCCAGGAGAGCCAGTACAACGAAGGCTAAGGCCAAGGTGACTTATTATCACTTCGATGTTATTATGGCATAATGGGTTACTATT